TCGGTTTGCGACCAGAGTCGTGGAACGAATTAAGTTCGTGAACTGAGGTACCACTGTATTTAACTTTCCCTGTCCTATCTCCTTCTCCTTGTTTATGGGGAAGGTCGAGCTGGTAGGCTGCTACACAACCCGTCTTGGGCTGGATTTTTGCAGTCTCTGGGGGTTACAGGGTTGTCTAGAGGGGAGGGTCAAAAAAATCAGGATGGCGACCACTAGAGTACGATCCGCCTATTTTTTTTTAAGCGTGATGCATCCTGCAGCCACCCCTGATAGGTTACAATCTTTTGCTTGCAGTTCAAAGGACCAAGAAAAATCCTGGCACCCCTGCAGGGCACCAGCTTGGCTCCAGGAGAGAGACGCCTCTTGATCAACATTCCACCCAGCCCCAGAACAGCATTGCTGTTTTAAAAAACAGGCGAGATACATGCAAAAATCAATTGGAATTGCTTAATAACCAAAGAACAGGTCTCTGAAGACTATGCATAATGGTTTTTGGATCGGAAGAGTCAAAAGTCTCCCCTTGTGAGGGAGAATGTATAATTAATAACTCTTTATCTCAGTGGCTGATCACATTCTGAAGTTATTAAATAATAAAAAATGCCCCAATCCAATTTGTTTTTCAGTGTTGTATGCTGGCCTTTGAAACGCAGCTTGCTATTAGAACAGCAGTGAACATTTGAGTTGCACTTTTCCAATAACCATGAACAATTGCAAATGAGAAAGCATGGTGCATTCCACATGATTTTCTCCCTGACACCCGGCTAGTTTAATTGTGGTTAAGTCAGCCTTATTTTTGCAGCAGAAAACAAAGGTTTTCACCAGGGATGTGCAATCCAAGTACTGTATCCCGATCCCCAAAGCTTTGGGTAGGACCTCTACAGCCCCTCCAAATGTTGCTAGAACGCTGCAGTGCTTGTATGAGGCAGAAGGAGAAAATTATGCAATAAGTGGGGAATGATCATGCTCCCTATACTGAATTAATCCAACAGAATTTGATTTACATTCATTTAAAATTAAATTAAGTTTAGTTTGGCCCAGCTACCTCTTTGTTTGGCCTTGCTAATTCTGGGCTCACTATTCAAAGTTCAGGTCATATGACTCATGGCTTGGAAAAAGCTTTCCCTGCCGGTTTGCACCAATATTCACACCTGGGTTGTGTCAAGGCTGAATTTGGTTCCATTTCAGGAAACTGAACTTTTTTTTTTTTTTTTTTAAGAAATACTTCTGTTTCAGAGCTTGCTCAAAAGAGCAGCAGAGTTTGGCAAGGGTTAGAGGAGGTGGTGTTTCAGCAGCTGCAGGCTTTCAAAGCCGGCCAACTTTTTCCCAAGAAAAAGTGTTTTCTGACGCAGTTCTGAAAGCTTTGGAGTCGGATGATCTCTCGCCAGTGCTTGAATGGGTAGGTGGGAGATGTAGGCATAGGCAGTTCAAAAGGCTGTGCAGGTGGATGGCTGGATGGGGCCCTGGAAGTTTTGTATAAACCTCCCCTCAAAGGAACCCAAGTTGTACCTTACCTACCATTAAACCACTGGAACCAGGAACTCCGGGGAGGCCCCGCTGGCCTTCTGGACCCTGAAGAGAAATATAGCAAGGGACTAAGAAGCTGTTGGAGATGCAGCTTCAGAAGCCTCAGCTTTGGCCCCTTTTGGCCAATTCATCATGGGCGACACTAGGAGGAGAAGGAGCCAAGCCAGCCTGGGACTCCGTCTTGGTCCTTGCTCTTCTCTCCCCTGCCTGGACAATGGATTCTTTTAAACTCTGCCATTCACCCTCTTCCTATGGAGAGCCCTTTCTCCTCAGCTCAGAGATGCCGACTTTCTATCCAGCATGGAAACCTCTGTTGTCTCATTGGACCTTGTCTTCTGCCTTTAGATACCCATAATGAACTTGCTAGCGTGTTCCTACTTACATACTTAAGCTCTGCTAAATACAGACCCTAGGAAATGAACTGGAGGATTCCAACCAGGGTTACCGCGACTATAGAAAGCAGGCAAAACTAGATGGTGGCCAGTTTAAAATTACCGGGGCCTAAAACAAAAGCAAGGAGGAGGGAAAGAGTCTCCATAGTTACCTGTGGGCCAGTAATGTGTGGACCTGGAGGCCCAGGAGGACCGATGGCGCCTTTGAGACCTGGTGAGCCCTGTATTGAAAAAAAATATATATATATTGTCCACAGACTCTAGACATGCTCAGTCCAGTCCAAACACTAAAGTCTTCAACTTGGCTTTGTAATTAGTTTCCTGCTAAGAATATACTGTGTAGATGTATATGACACTCATCCTTTTTCTCTCACAACTATTTATATCTGCTGCCTAAACTGAGGCATCTCTGGTATGATCTGCAACTGGGCAATATGTTTCCCCATTTAAAAATATTGAATGCTGTTCAAATCAATGCACATGATACAATGTAGTTGATAGCAGCATTTTGAGCGAATAGGGCTCTGTTTTCTACCCAAAGTATCCCACAATATCCTCAACCTGCAGCCTGTTTGAGACACTTATTTGTGGTAACGAATATGGGGAATGGGGCGGAAATAATTAATTATGGAAGCTCATAGCTTCCATATTGATTTTTATTTACATTTTATTAGCAGCGCGGCAGCCAACCTCTCAGAAGGGCTCTCAACATGAAGCAAAACAATTTTAAATTCAGTGACCAGAAAAACAAAAGGTTTAATCATATAGTATTATTACATTCTACCATCACAGAAAAAAAAAAAATGAGACATGAAAAAGCTTGGGGAAGAAAAGAGTTTTGCACTGAAGTGATACCAAGCTAATTGTCCCACATCTCAGTGCAAGAAGAATAGACAACCTGTAGCCTTCTATTGGAGTTGGACGACAACTCCTATTAACCCGGAGCTGACCACTGGCCATGCTAGGCTGGGCAATACCTGAATGGCAAAGGTTTCCCATTTTTATGGTTACATTGACCACCAGGAAGCACCATGTTACTGGTTACATCCTTATTGGGAATGGTCAGATATGGGTAGCCAGATGTTATTCTATGTATGTGGGGGCATGGCATAACATAACATTGGAATCTCTCTCTGAGAGCTGAAGGGAAGATGGACTATGTATGTCAATATGACATTCTATATACAGGACATCCCCAGTTTAAGAATGAGTTCCATTTCAAAGGTCTGTCCTTAAGTCGAATGTGTATGTAAGCCAGAACAGTATTGTATTGTATAACTAGTGTTGTGTAATGAATTCAAACCATTGTGTATTTAACTTGAATCACTGTGTATTTAATTCGAATTTTGCTACAGTAGGCTCCATTCTTAACTATGGGTTGTCCGTAACCCGGGCGGTCTTAACTTGGGGACTACCTGTATCTCTGCCTGCAACATCACTGAGCACCAGGACCTGGATAACTCCCAAAGCTAATGTGCTGTATATAGTCATCTAAAGTGCGATGGTGCATGAGTTCAATAACCAGTAAAGAGTTTGAGCCCCGTAAAATAACATCTGGCTACAGATGCCTAATGATTGCCAATAAGGACGAAACCGGTAATGTGGTGCCTCCTGGTGGTCAATGTAACTAAAAATACCACATAGGATAGATGCTGTGTAAAAATAGAGACCTCCCCCCCCAAGAGGGTAGGTGGAAGTCATGTTAAACCCTATACATGGAGGCATGACAAAATATGACATTTGTATTTCTCTGCTCTGAGAACTTAAGGGAAGGTGGACCATATAGACCATTCTGACAGCCCATCTTTATGGAGAACATTTCACAGATTGTATCACTAAAGTCTGATGTTGTTAAATATGGAAGGGGTATCAGTAGCTACCAGGAATGGTTGGTTATGTTGGCATTCCTCCTAATTGTTGTTACAGACAGAAATTGAGACATAAAATACTGGTTGGAAAGAGAACAGCTTCTAGACTCCAAAACTGATAAAAGGAAGCATTGGGATAGTCGTTACTGGGTGCAACCTAGTATATATGGAATTCCCTGACCCTGGAATGAGAAGGGTGTGTGTGTGGGGGGGGGGATTGAAAAATTCTGCCAGACAAGGACAGATGGACATTTTAGTCATGTCCCCTAAATGGCTAAGCAGCTCCCCTTTACATCAAGAAGGAATCAGAAAGAGGACTGCAGGCATTAAAGAGGACTCCTTTGAATGGACTTGCAGATACAAGGGTGGCTAAAATACACACGGACCCAGTTTCTAAGATTCCTCTACCTAACTTTCTTTTCCCTTGCAAAAAACCTGGCTAACAAGATTTGATGAGAATCTAGCTTTCTTGTTTATGGTTAGAGGACTTGACCCAGTGGCTCCATCCTCCCCCTGAGAAAGCAGAGTACTTGATATTGTAGTTAACCTGAGAGTAAATGTCTATGTCTGAAAACACACATCTGACTGACATGATATTCTACTCAACCACATTCATCAAATACATTTCACATGGATACATGGACATGACTCAGAACTTAAAGATGGATTAAGCACTCCCATGGAAGTTTCTAGATACCATCTATTTCCCCACCTGTTTTCTCATCCATAGGAAATTACACATTCCACATGCAAATGCTCACCTTTGCACCTTTTACTCCAACATTTCCTGATGGACCTTGAGGTCCTGGAGGCCCCTGCAGATCAGAAAAAAGAATTACAGCAAGAGCAATAGTGCTCTAATTTCCAGGTTAGTGCCAGATTTATGTTATTATTTTATTTGCATGCCTCCAACATATGGACTCCTGAGAGTTTACAAAACCCTCAGACAATAAAACCATGGAATCCTGGATGAATCCAACCTTCGGAGGCTCTGATCGCCACCATACCTCCAACCGTGTGCTTTATTTATTTGCCCAGATCAAATAACTGAGTCAGCTATCCTGTGCATCAAAAGTCTGACATGCAGTGAGGGATGGCTATGTGGTCAAACAGGGTGGCAAGGACCCAGAGGATCAGTACTTACTGGACTTCCTGGTGAACCTTTCTGCCCAGGTTCTCCCTGCAAAAAGCACAGAGAAATGTTTGGGCCTGATGCCAATGGTAATGCATGGTTGAATCAACCCCTGCCACAGGTCAAAAAGGAAGTTACTCACTTCTGGCCCTTGAATTCCTACACCAGGGGTACCTGGTTCCCCCTAAAAGGTTGCAAAAGTTATGTTAGTGGAGACATGACTCTTAGTGAAAAACTTTCAGTCCACAGCTCTTTAGAAGAACTAGCTTAATGCTTCTCCCGTTCCATCTTCCAAAGAATCAGAATCAGTGTCTCAACCCATCCTGTGGAGGCCTTCTGATCACTGCCTTATGCCCAACCTACTCCATGAGGTGGCTGGTGTGGGTCTTCCAGGCTGTGTGGCCGTGTTCTTGAAGTTTTGTTTCCTAACGTTTCCCCTCCCCCTCAGATCTCTATAAATACCCACAAAAGGGTCACATCATCCTGGGCACAGAGAGAACTGCTCCTGTCTGTGCTCCTGCACTCTGAAGATGCCGGCGAAACATTAGGAAACAAAACGGCCAGAACACGGCCACACAGCCCGGAAGACCCACACCAGCCACCTCATGGAGTAGGTTGGGCATAAGGCAGTGATCAGAAGGCCTCCACAGGATGGGTTGAGACACTGATTCTGATTCTTTGGAAGATGGAA